ATAGAGAATATTCCTTCATTTTTATTTTGTCGCAAAATATTTTGTATAAATATTTTTAGGCATTTGAAAACTATCTGTCTGCGACTTTTGAAACTATGAACAAATTTGTAGATGAAAAAGTATATGGGGTTATTCAATTGATAACCCAAAATATTGAGAGGCGAAACAAAGTTTAGCAATTTAACAAATAAAACTTTTTGTTTTGATCCCTTTTTTTCAGAAGAGCGTTTCGTAATTTCACAAATATTTTTGGAAGAAAGTTTAATAATTACAACTTTAGTTTTTGGTAATAAGGGAAAAGTTTACGAAACAAATTTTTCTTGACTGGATTTTTGTTTGCCATTTCTTTTCTTTACCGTTCCAGCTTTTACGCAGCTTATCTTTTCTTTGGTAGCCATCACGGTACGATTTTTTCGCGGAGTTATCAATCCAGACTGGAACTCTATTTCTCTTCACTGTTGTTGGTTATAGATGGTTTTATCGTTTTTCTCGTTATCAGCTTAGTCTCAAAATTTGAATTTTTTTAGGTCTTCAGGTCATTTATCTGGCATTCCGGTAATTTTTGTTCCGGGTAATGCCGGCTCAGTTCGGCAGGTACGTTCACTTGGTTCACTATTGCAAAATAAGACTGAAAGCAGAAAAGAGCCATTTCATTTCAATGTATTCGGGATCGATTTTAACGAGGTTCTTTTTTTTATTTAATTTTGGCTTGGTCAACGGCTTTGTCAGAGATGTTGGAATAAATTCATCTACAATTTATTGCTTGACATTAAGTATTCTAATTGCCTTTCAAAGCAAAAAAAAAAAAAAAAAGGAAAGAAGAGATGGTTATGAAAAAAATTTTTAGCATTTTCAATATTTCTACGCTTGAAAAATTTTTTTAATCGTAAGATTTAACAGTATTTTCTGAATTTCTGTCTATAGAGATAAATCTTGTTAAGGAGTTATCAGGAATAGCTGGTATGTATTTGGAGCGTCAGATTCGGTACTTGAGATTTGTAGTTGATCAGGTATGGCAAATTTATCATCCGTCACCAAAAGGTTTAATCTTAGTCGGACACTCAATGGGTGGTATTGTAATACGATCGCTGTTAAGAGATCCAAATTTTAACCCTTCAAGAATTGCCTTAATAATAACACTGGGAACGCCGCATAAATCACCGCGTAAGTAATGCGGTTTTAGAAACGCTTTAATTATTATAGAGCAATTTTATTCTGACAACAATTTGACAAAAAATTTAAAGTGGCTGAAGTTTTACTATTTTAGCAGTTATTTTTGACAGTTTTTTGGAGAAGGCATACGATGAAATGCTTCAAGCATGGCGAGTCAGAGGATCTCATGTGCCAATGATTTCAATATCTGGAGGTTTGAAAGACATATTGGTGCCGGAACATCTTTCTGTAGACACTGATTTTTATCATTTCTCGACCACTGCTATAGATGGTGTGGAGGCTGAAGCAGATCATTTGTGTATAGTGTGGTGTAATCAGCTTGTTCGGTAAGAGTTAGTACTCCTCAATGATGTTTCAAACAGTAATTGAAATTACAAGCTAAAATTATTACCGGGGTTGTTGATCGGTAGTACCAATGTATCAAGAACATTATTTAGTTAAAATTGCTTCGAAGAAGCTTTTTTTCTCAATTTTGTATTTAACTGTAGGGGGAAGTTATTTATATCTTGATGAATATTGTATAAAAAAAAGTTTGTAAAATGATGACTTCTTTTTTTTATAAAAGTAATTAACAAATTATTTAGAGTCAAAAGAAAAGTTTCAATTACAATTGCGATTTATCAAGTTACCGTATACTTTCTAATATTCTTAAAGAAGCGTTTAGAGCTTAAAATTGCTTAATCAGAAGAACAGTTACAAAAAAAAAAGAAAATAAGAAGGAGAATTATGAGCGTTTAGAAAAGGAAATAAAGGACAAGAAATCGCATTTATGACTGATCAATAATCTATTGACATATAAGTGTATGTGTCAATACAGTTCTAAACTTTCAAGTGCAACCAGTTTTAAGCTTATCATATATCCACAGTGTTTGCATGGAAGGGGTTATTGCGATTAACTGTTTTAGGCACACATCAAGACTACTTTTTGAATATGCTGCGGCACCTGATGATTTTGCCAAAAATTTTCATCATACCGTTGAACGTTTATATGCATCTAACGGAAACATTTATGCAGAGCCAAGCGAGTTGGAAACTAGCAGCTCACCAGTTGAAATCCACGAAGAACTAACAGTCGTAAATATTTTTTGATTATTTCTCGTCTTTTTTTATCACTAAATATTGTGCAGCACAATTGGAAACGGAGATGAGGTTTAAGTTTAATTGCTTCTTTAATCTTATTTTAGTCAAAAACTTTTTTTTGGTGTTCAGAATGTGTTTGGATACAAAAAATGTTTATTCAAATCTCTAATGAATAAGATTGCTAAATGAAAATTAAAACGGATGAGACAGAACTTAACTGGTAAGATACTTTGGGATATACGTTATACTCGTCTGCTTTTTATACAAATCTAATACAACAATTTGTAGTTATGAAAGGCTTAAACAGTTTGCGGTAAATTTTCTTCTATCTATTTGAAACATCTGTGCACGTTCAAATTTTAGTTTTACAGACTAGGACAGCGAATTTATACATTTTTATGAAAGGCAATACTTTCTTTAAATATATATTTAAAAAGATTTTTTTGAGCGCTGTATTAGCTGAACAGTTATGCGTGATGCTAAATTAATTTTTTTTATGGCGTATGGTAAGCAATAAGATTCTGGACAAAAGGTTTTGGAGAAGTTTGAGGAATAAAGATATGGTTACAGGGTAAAAAACTCTATTCTGTAAAAATGATAACATTTCGAATATTCTGCTTTTTATTGTTTAAAATTATTTACCGAAACTTGTCTTGTTTGAAACGTGTTTCGGAAGTGAGCGGTAGAATGACCATTCCCTACTTTCGCCTAAACGACAAACGAATTTTCCACATCTAATCATAATGATTGTGCGCTCGCTTGGACAGTAAAAAGACGTTCGGCGGACCTTTTTTGACACTGCTACTTGCGACTTTTATAACAGTATATATTGCTTTTAAAGTGAATATTAGTTTATCAAAATTTTTGTTGAAATCTAGAATTAGCCAGATTACGTGGACATTAACGATAAATGCTTTGGATTGAGCGATGCTCTAGGAACTCAATGGATTGCTGGCGTAGGGGAGTAGACCAATGAGATGAGAAATGTCGTACAAATTTTTATTGAAACAGACTGACACTTGAGCTTCAAAACAAGATGGGTGCATTAGCTACGGTGGCACAATCATATCCAATTATATCCTTGTAACTCACTGACAGCAAGATCAGTTTTTTCACTTCTTACCTTTTCCGGAATCTGTAAATGTGAGTATACTGTTGGATGTTTCTATGAATCACTCTTTGGTTAAGCAGTTCTGCCTGAACTCTGTTGTTAACATTCTAACAAAACGCTCAAATTATTCGATGCCAATTTTTAAAAATTTTTTTTTACGCTTTTACAGTCTGAATGCATACTCCGCTTCGTTTACGGACACCGAATAACTCGTATTTTTGGCTTCGAAAAAGCTGTAAAGATAAGAAACCAAGTTTGGAAAGCCTATAACGTTTTTTTACTTTATTAAACTAGAAATTTTAAAGACAGGAAAAAGAGATTGCGCTTGACTAGATCAAAGCCAAGTATAAAGTTAGGAGACAATAATTGGGTGATAGATTTACTAGAGACAGTCTACAGGGGAATACGCAAATTTTATGATACATTTGGAAAAGATCAAAAGTTTTGGTTATAAATGACGTAATAAAGTATAAGGTGTTTGATGGTTTGTTCTGACTGTGATAGCTTCAAAGGAGATTTATGCAACGTCTAGGACTTGGGTAAGCTGTACGTATTTAGAAGTTAAACTGGAAATTTATCCTACATGTGAGTCTAGCGAAACAGAAAGGCATGGTTCATCAACTGTTGTTTTACTGTCTGGCTATTCATGTGCAGAAGCTAACAATTCTGTATAAATCCCGTTTCTGTGAATAAACAAAGGATAAATTTTCTGAAAGGTTTTGGCATTGTTTTAATCCTCGTTAGAAAAAAACAAAATTTTGGAGCTTGAGAGCATCGAGGCGTAATTTTGAAAAATTTTAGGAATGCGTCAAATTTCAAGTGCCTTTCCTGTTAAAGACTCAAAAAATTCGTAGCTGTTGGAGTCTTTTGCATTTTTAAAGTCGTTTTGGAACAGTTTGTGAGGAAGCTAGAAAATTTAGCAATTTGGAGATCTGATCTGATTAATCTAATCTATTTATATCATTAGTAATGAAAGTTTAAAAACTACTTCTTTTAGACAAGCAGCATTTGTTTATGTCGAATGATTTTTTTTATCGCTGTCTGCCTAGAAAATGGTTATTAAGTTGACTGAATATTTCATAGTAAACTATCTAAGCTTTTAACAATTACTTGTAACCTTATAAAAGATGTTTTTGTTCACAACTTATTCTTTCCAGCTTCTTCCAATAGTGTTACGATGAAACGTTTTAATAAGTTATGCCGCTATTAGCAGAAAATATGGTGTAACTTAATGGCGGTAGTTGCGCTCTGATTACATGTCTTTTTTTATAAACGTACATGTGCATATTTTTAAAACTTATTTTACAGCAATTAAAGATTTCATGTTCACCTGAAATTGTGCAACAATGGAAATCCGAAAGATATCTGTTGTTTTCAGATTTGTGGTGGTTCTTTAAAAACAAGAAAATTACCGTTAAACGTTCTATTTCTGGTAATTTAGGGGTTTTATGGGGCAGTTTTCGCAGAATAAGCGTTCAAACTGTTACGACAGAGAAAACTAGTGCTCAAGGAAAACTATCTGCTTTAAAAAACTGGACTTGTAATGAATGTCAAAATGTTTCATACTCTGTAGCTAAGTTTATTTCAGGTCAAAAATAGGCGAAATGTTACTCGTAAACAGTTGCTGAAGATAGGTGACGGTAGTAGTTTATTTTTGCTCTTCAGTAAAGGTTCGTCTTGGTTATTGGATAGGCGGAAACAACAGGGTGTTCACAGTCTTCGTAATGCTCAATATAAGTACTTTTCGTCAGTTAATTCTTCTAATCATCTTGTGGCAATTCTTGGTCCGAAACACGTCCTGAAAGCTGTTGCAATTACTCAGGGAACGCTACAAATAGTAACTGTTTATGTGTCATAAGTTTCAAACGTGTATTTAGGAGATCATTTTTTTCTATTTTGCTTATTTATCTGAAATTATATTAAAAGTTCTAGATACAACAGCTTTGTATATTGACTTTAATTGACAAACCGGAAAACTTTCCGGACTAGCAGAAGTAATAGCAGCTGGTAGTGATATTATATTGCAAGGAATATTGCAACTATTGAATGTTACAGCAAAGTATCAGTGTAAGTAGTTTTGCGATCTGTAAGAGCTTTATAAGCGGCTTATGGAAAGCTAAACTGAGCGGCAAAAAACTGGCTGAAGTTTTACCGTTGAAGATTTCGTATGTGTGGTTGGCGGTACGAGCGAAATTGATACAGATGGAATGTACAGATAAAAAGAGTGGTTAGTTAATTGGGAATCTCTTTAAATTGTTTCTTTCCATCCTGATTTATTCAATTTATTTATCAGTATAACTCAGCTTGTGTTATTCTAATTTATTTTTACGTTAACAGATATACTTTTCGTCTTTAGCACTGGACAGTCATTACTAAATGAACTTTACTTTTTATTTTATGCTTTTGCAGAAAATTTGAATTAGGGGGTTTAGGCAAACAAAAGTTATGAAGCCAACTGTCAAAGGAAATTTTTATGCATGTAAAAAAGCATGTTGGCTGTCCAATTATCCTTACCAAATAAGATTACACTTTGCTGAAGGCTAAAGATGGTCTGAATTTTTTCGCTTCTCTTTTTTTAAAATTTAATCGCTATTGATTGCTATTATCAGAAAACTCTATTCGACCGAACTCTGAACATGACAAAAAAGTACAAAGTTGTTCACATTTACACAAAACGGCAGTTTTTTTTCAAAATAAAACCATTAATATTTGTTAATGAGACTGCATCTGGAAATGGTCACTTGCGCTTACGAACACTGGCATTGTAGATGGAATTCATTTTTACATGAAAATATGTCCTCAGTGAAGCAACGTTGACTTCAGCTGATTAAATCAAACTTGTTTTACAGTGAAAATGTGTGACCGGTGAGCACGTTTTTTTAGCTCTGAAAAATACGTATTTTTATTGCATTTTCATTTTTTGGTGCTATTATACTGAAACTAAAAAATATTTCTTTGAGAACTGGGTCTGCAACATTTATGATAGATGTTTATCTCTGTTATTTTTAGAAGCTAGGAATCTGCTTACGAGATAACAGCCTTCTTTCTACTCTCGTAGGATGAATAATTGTTGTAATAATTTAATGCACTACAAATTTATCACCTTTGAAGAGGACTGTCAAGTTTGACGATCTCAGAATCTGTAATCAGTAGTTTTGATGTTGCACTTATCACCAGTTATTATTTATATTTACTCATTTCGAAATCACGATTATCGTTAAGGTGTTTAAAACAGATTGATGCTGGCTATCATCTAAGCTACTTCAACGGGTCTTCACTTTTTCAAGGTAGGATGTCTGATTACAGTGACTGTTGGGCTAAAGTGCTAGTCGATATAAAGAAAATTGATTTTGATTTTGGCTGGTCAGTCAATTCTGTTTTTAGGCTTTATTCTCTTCGATTACTTTTGTCTGTTCAAGTGACCGACAGCTTAATAAAGACGTATTTTAGAAAAAAAAAGTTCACCAAAATGCGGGGGATTTTGAGGTCT